CTATAGAGAAAACCTCTCCAAAAAAAAAAAAAGAAAAGAAAAGAAAAAAAAGAGAAATGAGTTCCCACCCTCCTTGTCCTTCTGGGACCCAAGCTCATGCCGGATAAGCGGGTACGCGATGTCCTCGGTCCCTGTTTCCCTGGCCTCTCTCCTTCCACCTTCCCTGGCTTCCTAGACCCTGGAGGTGTCCCACCTGGGTGGAACTAGGAGCCCAATGGGCGTCACCCAGCTCCCAGTCGGGACAGGTCCCCACTTGTGTACCCTTAAGGCAGACGCGGTGGCGATGGCCCTGCCAAGTGGTTTGGGGAGGAGATGGGAAGGGCTGGCTCTGGGGTTCCGGTGGCTGTTAGGAGCGCTGTTGCCACACCAACCCCCCATAACCCGACGGCTCCAACCTCTGGCCCTACCCTGAGTGGCTGTGAGGGGTGCAGGTAGCAGTTGTGGTATTCAGGTTTTTGTGGGGTGGCTGGGGCTCCCCTCTCTGGTTAGGGGAGGCGGGGTCCCGTGCCTGGCACGCTTTCCTAAGAGTTCTGCAGCTGCGCTGGGCTCAGTCGTATTGGAGGAGGACCAGCCCACAGGAGAAAACGCTCATTGCACTGCGGTGCCAGTGCTTCTGGAACTTCTGTCCTGAGCCACGCCCTAGCAGGACGCACCCTGGCTTTGCGCCCAGACCCCATGCTTCGTGTGACCTCCTGGCGGCACCTTGACCAGCAAGGGTGCTGGAAGCGCTGTTGGCTCCTGCTCTGTTTCTCTCTGGACAACACACACACCCTGTAGCAGAAACTCGCAAAAGGAAAAGGGTTTATGTGCCCTAAATGATTTTGAGGAAACTGGGTTTCTTTTTTCTTTTTTGAATTATTTTATTTAACTTTATTTATTTAATTACTTATTTTAATTTGACCAGAGAGGGACAGAGTGAGAGAGGGAAAGTGAGAAATCAAGCTGCCAGGTCCGGGACTGCCAGTTCCAGGACTCAAACCGCAGTCGACCCTGTGGGAGTCCAGTGCCCTTAACCACCATGCCATCTGCTAGCCCAGAAATTGGGTTGCTAATATATATCTCCATGACTAATTTCCTGAGTCCCTTTTACCTGTTAGCCACTGTGCTAGTCATTCTTTGCTTATTTAAAAAAAAAATTTTTTTTTTGGAGAGGATTTTGCTATAGGGCACGTGCACTCGCCAGAAAGAGAGAGACAGAGAGACAGGAATCAAAAAACCACCCCCACCAGGGGGGAATGGCCATGCCACAATCCCTGCTCCCCTATTTTCCTAACGGGATCTTGGACATGCACACACACATACCAAGCGTGAGTTTAAGTCACTGCGTCCAGGACTCGAACCAAAATCGACTACATAGGAGTTTAGTGACATAGCCATTACACCAACTACTGGTCCCTATTTAAAAAAATTTTTGTTTGTTTGTTTTAATTTTTTAAAGAGATTTTTGTTATAGGGCATGTGCGCTCACCAGACAGACAGAGAGACAGAGAGACAGAAAGTGAGAAATCACCCCCTGGGGGGGATGGTCACGCCGCAATCCCTTCTCCTCCATTCTCCTCTCAGGATCTTGGGCATGCACG